AGAGTATGTCTGGAATGCAGGCAATCCCTTAAGGTGTCTCTTAGTACTACCATGCCCTGTGATTCAAGTCAATGGAAAACTACAGCAACCCAAGTATGCCATGACTACTAATAGCCTAGATCCTTCAGGAATGAAGGTTTGGGTCACCCCAACCGGCAAAGAACCACAACCAGATGAGGAGCTTGCTGATGGCAAATGGAATACGGAACGGGTGGTGGAAGAAGGTACTTATAAATGCCAGTTACAATGATGTGACCTGTTGCAGAAACGAAGACTGTAATTGTTATGAGTATTTCTGCTTTGTATGTGTGAATTAAATATTTTTTTTGCATTTCCTTGGGGGTGTGGCCTGCATCCAATATTGGCGGACTTTCTGGCAAGACTCACAGGCTTTTGGTCGGTCTGGATCCTGCAGCTAGCTCCTATTCATCTGACCTTTAGCTCTTGGGACTTGAGCTAGCAGCTTAGTTGCCATCTTATCTGCCAACCTTGCGATCCGTTGGCCTCCACAGCCTGTAAACCAGAGGCCTCCCATCTAAACCTTCTGATCCTGGATTTGCCAGCACCTTCAGCTACGTGAGTCAGGCAAAGCCTCCAGCCTGACCCAGGAACTTGGGACTTTCCAGCCTCTACAGTCACGTAAACCACTTCCTTTATATAAATCTCTCTCTCTATGTTTATACGCTGCATTGATTTTGCTTCTCTAGAGAACCCAGCCTAAGACAGTATCTACCCAAGAGAAGTGAAAACACATGTCCACACAAAAACTTGTACATGAGTGTTCATAGCAGCACTATTCACAATAGCCAAAAGGTGGAAACAACCCAAATGTCCATCAACTGATGAATGAATAAATAAAATGTGATACATACATACAATGGAATATCACACAGCCGTGAAAAAGAATAAAGTACCAATACATGCTACAACATGGCTAAACCTTGGAAACATTACACTAAGTGAAAGAAGTCTGTCACAAAAAAATCACTTATTATATGATTCCATTCATATGAAATTCTAGAATAAGCAAGTCTACAGAGATAAAAAGTAAATTCATGGTTGCCTAGGCCTGGGATGAAGGGGAGGACTGAGGGTGATTGCTAAAGACTGCGTGGTTTTTTGAGGGTAATGAAAATGTGATTATGGTGATGGCTACACAACTCTATTGATATACTAAAAGCCAGTGCACTGTATACTTTAAATGGGCAAGTATGGTATGTGAATCTCAACAAATGTGTGAAAACAATTAAAAAAAAAAAACCCTGGAATTGTCATACCTGAAACACAGGATTTTATGAGCATTAAATAAAGGCAAGTAAGCTTTCAGTGCATGATAACTGTTAAACAGAGAGATAATTTTCTTTGTTGTTCTTTTACTGATACTAT